CAGAAGATAGAATCTAGAGAGCCAAGACATTTTCTTTTGGTAAATATGTTTAGGAAGCAACTAGGACTTCTGTAGTCCCAGAAAGATTTCTTTCAAATTTCCTCTGGGTCCCAAATTTATGTTGTTAACAGCTCCTATATTTGATAGCTGGGGTCGGTGAATGCCCGGTATTCTCCCCACTCTATCTTTGCTAAAAAAAAGTCCAATTCATCAGTCCACTTCAATGGCAAAGATCCTCTTTGTCCATATGTGTTTGAAAAGATAATTACTTCTAAATGGTGCTGTTGCCCAGATTAATGTGTCTTTCTATTGGCAGTTTGTCTCACAGTAGTCACTTCTCTAATGAAAACACAGAATGGCTTTATGTAATAAACCTGGGTCTGGATCAGGAGACACAATACAGAGAGCCAGTGGACTGGAGTGCCATGACCTTGGGCAGGTGGTTTTGGATCACTGACCTAACCAATAGTTTGAGTGGGAAGGAGAGAAGTGGCTGTCCTTCGAATTCTTTGGCATCTGTTCAGATTTTTCTTTCTCACTTTGGGGATAGGCATACCTTCCCTTCTCATTGACGTAGTCAGTCAGGAATTAGCTTTCTCAGTCGAGGTCAATTGCTTTGTGCAGCAGGAATGTGTCGCTTATACACATATACTGAGCTGTAGACAATAGTTTGATAATTTTCCTATTAATTTTTTAAGACCAAATTACATTTAGGTATCCAAATCTATTCAGCACTGCCTTTTTAACTTGCCCCAAAGCTATTCCTGAAAGGAGCCGTGACCTCACATCCTCACCTTCTTATCCTTGCAGGCACTTATGGTGGAGGAAACCACTTTGTGTCTGATTGAAACTGAAGAATGCTTCCAATGCAGAGATTGGCAGCTATGAAGCCCAAGCACAGAAAGAGAGCCAAGAGACAGTGGAACAGGAGTGTTGTGGCCTATCTCAGTAAGTCTACCGCCATGATGAAGATGCCTCTTAGTATGAGATGCATGCCACCTCTTCAGAAGAAGAATGGGCCATCTCTCCAGAAGCAAAAACTGAGTAAGCCTTTTGAGGCCCTGGAGAATATTGTTGGCCGCAGAATTTCTCATGGCTGGAAGGAAGCCAATGAACCAGTCACCCAGTGGAAAGACATCATTCTAGATCAACTGCCAACATATCCCTCTGTCTATTTGTAGAAATATGATGGGATTGATTGTGTCTATGGCTTGGAGCTTCACAGCAATGAAAGGATTTTAAACCTTAAGATCCTGCCTAATCATGTGCCATTTCCTTTGGTGACAGACACTCATCTGTCAAACACCATAGTTGGCAGAGCAGTGAATCATATCATCGCTGGAAAAAATCTCTGTAAGGATGACTGGAAGGAGATGGTTCTAGAGGAGGTGCCAATCATGAAGACCTGGTTCTATATTACCTACAAGAAAGATCCGGTCTTGTACATTTACAACCTCCACATCATGCCAGGCTCTAAGGAGGAGTGGAGTGGCGTGGTCCCAGATGAGGTGCAGACCATGACGACCTGTTTCTACACTGTCAACGAGATCCAGTCCTGTACATTTACCACCATCTTGATGACTCCATTGAAGGCAACCTCCACATCATGCCTGAATGTCCTCCAGTAGAGTTGACTTGGGAATAAAGCATGGATTCCTTGGCAGGCGAAAGTGTGCAGTACAACAAAAAAGATGGAACCCAAGAGATAGGTTAAATTATTTGCCAAGTTCCCACCAAACCTTCTGTGTATTTCATCAAGTTTGATAATGACTTTCATTTCTATGTCTATGATTTGGTGAAGATCTGTTAAAGTGAAATTCTCCAATTTTGAGGGGCAGACTTAATACTGTGTTTGGGGAATGTGTTTTTTTCAGAGATACCTCAGGTCTTCTATTAATCCTGGTATCTTTTCCAATGAAATATTCTTGCTCGAAAAACAAAAATTTGTGAACATATTGTGTTCTTTGGTCAATGATGGATTGTGTTTGGTGGATGGGATATCACAGAAATACATGCCTCCAAACAAAGCAGGATTTATGGTCTTTTCATCTTGGAGAGGATGGACTGGGGATGCTTGGTGTGGTAAAGGACAAGATGGCTGTCCAGGGAGGAGTGGAGAGGGGACAAAAAATTGGAGGATCTCGGGGCAGGATAAAGCTTGAGGGAAAAACATGTAAAATGGAAAGATGTGACAGATATCAGAGTGAGGTATTGGGACTTAAGAGGATAAAGAGTAGATTAATCAGGAAGGGACACAAATGTATACGCAAATTCAGAGAAAATTAGGTTTCATTTGATGAATGGTTTAATTCGTACTGGCTGTAAGTCACTGGATTTTGATCTCCACTGGAGCATGTTGAGTGACCAAGAGCCTCCTGCTTAGAGAAAAGTGTCTACTCCCAGTTGCTCTTAGGCAGTGGGACGGATGTCAAGCTACCTACTTCCTTTTGCCAGAATTCTGTCTGCCACCTACTTTGTCATGCCTGGATTCGGTATGCCTTGAACTCTCATAGGTCTTATGCATGCCATCCAACCCTTATGAGTTCATTTAAATCATTGCCCTGCCATATCTGGAAAATGGTGTTCCCTTTCATTAATCATGTTCTGTAGGACTTGGGCTATAAAACTCATCAACAGACTCACCCACAAACAGAATAAACATGTACACATTGATGCCCACTGTGTGACATGCACACATATGATGAATGCACCGAGCTCCATCAAATCAGTAAACTAGGGAGTCCATGATGCTAGGTGGAGTGTGGCAAAGACCCCATAAACCCATCAGACCCCCAAATACCAGTATGATATTGATGTCTGACGCCCATCATGTAAGGATCCTGACATCCTGTAACGGGGTGATTTTTGGTTCCTTCATCTTCACAAACTTGGTTAAAATGTTAGAGTTGTCAAACTGCCAGTTAGGGTCCAGCATGTAGATCAGCTGTCCCAGGTCAGGTGATTTGGCTACAATTTGGGTGAGAACTTGTACCAGGGCATTATGGTACACCCTCACCTCTTCTTCTCCCAGTCCTCATCATCACTCTTGTGGGAGGGCTTGGAGCACAAAGAAGGCAAAATGGAATAAGCCTCCTCCTCAGTGGGAAACATTGTCAATCCTTCATTTGGCCTGACTCTCAGAGGGAATGCACCATATTTTATCCTTCTAGGTCTCCTCCTTCTTTGGTTCAATTTGGTCTAGCCTTTGGTAGAATTGCCATTTTTACTATGTTGATCCTCCCAATCCAAGAGCAAGGGAGGTCCATCCATTTTTTGGTATCCTCTTCAATTTCTTTCTTCAATGCCTTAAAGTTCTTGTCAAGTAGATCTTTCACTTCCTTGGTTAGATTTACCCCAAGATATTTTATGCTGTTTGTGGCTATCTTGAAAGGTGAAGCTTCTCTGATTTCCCTCTCTGCTTCCATATCCTTTGTGTATAAGAGGGCGACTGATTTTTTGGAGTTGATCTTTGTGGAGTATCCTGCCACATTACTAAAGCTGTTTATCAGCTGTATAAGTTCTTTGGTGGAGTTTTGGGGGTCGCTTATGTACACTATCATATCATCTGCAAATAACGAAAGTTTAACTTCTTCCTTTCCAATTCGAATCCCCTTGATCCCATTATGTTGTCTTATTGCTATTGCTAGAACTTCAAGCACTATATTGAAGAGGTATGGCGAGAGTGGACAGCCTTGCCGTGTTCCTGAGTTAAGTGCCATTTCCTCAGGTGACAGACACTCATCTGTCAAACACCATAGTTGGCAGAGCAGTGAAACATACATTCACGGGCACAAATGGCTCTAAGGAAGACTGGAATGGGATGGTCCTAGAGGAGGTGCCAATCATGAAGACCTGGTTCTATATTACCTACAAGAAAGATCCGGTCTTGTACATTTACCACCTCCTGGATGTCTACCTTGAAGGCAACCTCCACATCATGCCAGGCTCTAAGGAGGAGTGGAGTGGCGTGGTCCCAGATGAGGTGCAGACCATGATGACCTGTTTCTACATTGTCAATGAGAATGATCCAGTCCTGTATCTTTACCACCATCTTGATGACTCCATTGAGGGCAACCTCCACATCATGCCTGAATGTCCTCCAGTAGAGTTGACTTGGGAATAAAGCATGGATTCCTTGGCAGGCGAAAGTGTGCAGTACAACAAAAAAGATGGAACCCAAGAGATAGGTTAAATTATTTGCCAAGTTCCCACCAAACCTTCTGTGTATTTCATCAAGTTTGATAATGACTTCCATATCTATGTCTATGATTTGGTGAAGATCTGTTCAAGTGAAATTCTCAAATTTTGAGGGGCAGACTTGAAACTGTGTTTGGGGAATGTGTTTTTTTCAGAGATACCTCAGGTCTTCTATTAATCCTGGTATATTTTTACAATGGAATATTCTTGCTCGAAAAATAAAAATTTGTGAACATGTTCTGTTCTTTGGTCAATGATGGATTGTGTTTGGTGGATGGGACATCACAGAAATACATGCCTCCAAACAAAGCAGGATTTATGATCTTTTCCCCTTGGAGAGGATGGACTGTGGATGCTTGGTATGGTAAAGGACAAGATGGCTGTCTAGGAAGTAGTGGAGAGGGGACAAAAAGTTGGAGGATCTTGGGGCGGGATAAAGCTTGAGGGAAAAACATGTCAAATGGAAAGATGTGACAGATATCAGAGTGAGGTATTGGGACTTAAGAGGATAAAGAGTAGATTAATCAGGAAGGGACACAAATGTATACTCAAAATCAGAGAAAATTAGGTTTCATTTGATGAATGGTTTAATTCGTACTGGCTGTAAATCACTGGATGTTTGATCTCCACTGGAGCATGTTGAGTGACCAGGAGACTCCTGCTTAGTGAAAAGTGTCTCCTCCCAGTTGCTCTTCTGCAGTGGGATGGACGTCAAGCTACCTACTTCCTTTTGCCAGAATTCTCTCTGCCACCTACTTTGTCATGCCTGGATTTGTTATGCCTTGACTCTCATAGGTCTTTTGCATGCCACAGCCTTTGATTTCTGAAATAAGTGCTGTCACCTTAAGGTCTCATAACAACACAGGAAGGTTTGTAAGACTATCCCAGCAACAATTTAAAGCAATTCTAGGACACCAAAGATGCAGCAAGTTATGTTTATTGGTCATAAACATGGTTCTGATGGGACAAAAGAATGTAGCATTAAAAAACAGATTGGTGTACTCACGATTATTTCATGTGATTTGGCACACACAGGCTTCTGGTTCTGAAAACTTCAGCTCAGTGGGTTTTGGAGATTGTGGTGACCGTGAACCTAGCTGGAGGCTTTGGGGCCTGAAAGGACAAGCAATGATATTTCAGGACATCCTTATCCTTAGTTTCCACTGTTTACTGATTTCCTTACAGAGAATGAGCAGCCATCTACTCCTGCTGCCATGCTACATGAACAGAGAGAACACCCTCCACACCCAGGTTGCTTGTATCACATATGAAGGCATAAGTCACAAACAATGAAGAGACTGGAGCTAGGAAAAAAAAAAAAAAAACATTCATGTGAGTTGTTGACTCAGACACCAAAGACTTTTTTTACAGAAAAAAACACATAAAGGGATTGAGTTACTTGGCAAAATATGACTCATGTATTTGGGAAGATGAGTGGGGTTTTTATTTTGGGTCTCCAGGGGGCAGCATTATAGGACCTGTATGCTGGATATTTCTGTGGGTTAGTAGGGAAGAAACCTGCCTATGAGGGGTTTTATGACATAAGTAGAGCCTTGGAGATGTCACAAAGCTGTGGTTGGGGGTGGCAACTCTGTTCCACATGAAGCACTAGTCTTCTGCGACTGAGGCCAGCCTGCACTACATAGCAAGACCTTGTCTCAGAATTAAAGCAAACAAGTTAATGTGCGCGCGCGCACACACACACACCACTCACCACACATACATTCATGAAATGCAGTTATTTTCATTTATCATATTGCTCACTTCAAGAATGTGTACACGCTCAACTCTATGGTTTTATTTCTGCATGTACGTGTGGTGTGCATGCATGCCTTTTCATGTGTGTGGGTACACACATGTGAGCACATGTATATATTGAAGCCCACGTGACACTGAGGGTCTCTCTTCATTGCTCTCCACTTTAGTCATCCAGAGTTCTAGGACACATGTCAGTATTATCACTAGCTTGTGAGATATGGTCTCTGCCTCACTTCCATGAGTTCTGGTAACCTCCACTCCAATCGTCACAGTGTACTACAATCACTAATCCATGATGACAGCTCCCCAGCTCTATTATTTTAACACAGTTTTATATTTCATAAAAGATAACATTCTTTTTTCAATAACTTTTTATTAGCACTTTTATAAGATATCTAATTTTATCCAAACTTATATCACAAATTGAAAATTAAAAGTTTCAAGTTCTTACCTTCTTACAAATGTCCAATAAAGACTTATAAAACTTTTTATCAACAGTTCGAAAAATTTGAAAATGCAGTACAAAGAGCCCACAAACTCCAACATACTTGTCTCTCTGGTCAATTTCAGAAGGCTCACCTTATAAAGGGACACCAGACAAACAGAACCAACCATAGATAAAGTGGGCTTTTAAGGACATGTAAACTTGATAAACACTCAAACGCAAAATTTACATTACCAAGTTTGGCTTCCACGTTTGCAAAAATTGAGCGAATGCTATGTGCAAATTCTTCCGCAAAAGTGCTGTTTTTCGACACAGATATTCCTCCATTGAGGGAGTCAAACTGCTGTTCAATACAGGCCTAGACAGGAAACATTTGGAGAGAAATTCAGTCTCTAGAGAACAAATGAGCAAACACCTAGGTAAGATGAAACACTCGGTACTCATTTTAACTACACTGGGTCTCATGCTCTTTAATATTTAAATCCTTTGACAAGGTATGTGTATGTAATGACAGTGAGCGCCATCACACAGCACTTAAACCCCAACTGAGGAGATCCGAGTGAAGCAGAAATGAACGGAAGGGATCACTGCTGATGTACTGCAAAGTGGTGGGGTTTCTGTTTGTTTGAGAAAGTGTCTATGTAACCCTGGCTGTCCTAGAACCCATTATGTAGGCCAGGCTGGCCTCGAACTCAAGGATCTGTCTGCGTCTGCCTCCCAAACGGTGGGATTAACAGTGTGTTCCACCACACCCAGCAGAAAGCATTTTTAAAAATTTGCAGGTATAAGTGTTATGCTTACACATATGTCTCTGCACTACATGCATGAACTGCCTATGGAGGCCAGAAGAGGGTATCAGATACCCTGCAACTAGAGTTACTGATGGCTGTGAGCCACCACATGGGAGCTGGGAATCAAGCCCACGTCCTCTTCAAGGCAGTACTGCTGAGTCACCTCTCCAGCTGCTACATCGTTTTGTGAAGAGCACCTTAAGGAGCTTCTGTTCATTTAGTTATTACAATTCCTTTCTTAGCATTCTCCTCCCCGCCCCCTTTGGGGAGTGTCTCACTCTGTAGCCCAAGTTGTCCTCAGATTATGATAATCCTGCTTGAATTTCCCAAGTACTAGGAGATAATGGGCATGAGCCACAATACCCAGCTCCTAGCATACTCTGTGCAAAAATGTAGCCAGAGTTACAATACCCAGCTCCTAGCATACTCTGTGCAGAAATGTAGCCAGAGTTACAATACCCAGCTCCTAGCATACTCTGCAGAAATGTCCCCAAGAGGGAAAACAAAGCATCTAAGAAACTGATAAACCCACTTTAAAAACCAAGAGCTGGGTCCATCTGTTAAAACTGTAATAATATAGAACTAGACACACAACTCTGAAGCAGACAGAGTAGACACCACCCCTCGGCACTTCAAAGGTCCTTCTGGGAGGAAGACAACATGCTGCTTCTGTACTGTCCACATAGGGAGAACATAGAAGTGATGTTTCTAACTAATGTTAGCTGGTTTCAATTTAGAAGGCATGCATTTGTGCACATGTACTGAGTGTAGAGGAATTAACTAAGCTTTTATTTGGCTTTGCTAAGGGTTTTGATTTGTTCTTTGTAGATCTGGGGATTAAATCCAGGACCCTGAGCATACCAAAGTGAACGCCCCACCACTCAACTGCATCTCCAGCCCTTCAAATTTATTTTAATCTTAAAAAAAAAAAAAACAATCTAGAAGCTAGTAACAAACATAATGCAAATAATTAAGTCTTAGGTTTTTGTCTTTGTTTTTGAAATGGGATATCATTATGTATCTCAAGATGACCTAGAATTCACTTTGCACACCAGGCTAGCCTTGAAGTCTTGAACAGTTTCCTGTGTGCTGGAACTATAGAAGTGTATCACCATGCCAGATTCAATTTTATATTTTTGCATAGTTTAAATTTTAAAACCCTCATTATAAGTAACTTTTTATTTTGTTTACTATTAGACACTGAGTTATACTTTAATATACTAATAATTAATTTTTTTTAAGACAAACCACTTTCTAAAGAAAAGAAATGTCAGTAGTCAGGCAGTGGTGGCACACTCCTTTAATCCCAGCACTCAGGAGGCAGAGGCAGGTGGATCTCTGTCAAGGCCAGCCTGGTCTACAGTGTGAGTTCCAGGCAGCCAGGGCTGTTACACAGAGAAACCCTGTCTCAAAAAAAAAAAAAAAAAAAAAGAAAAGAAAAGTAAAGAAATTCAAAGTATTCTACAAAAGTGTCCCCCCGTAATTTGGAGCTGCACCAATCTCTACTTACCTGAAATATCATTCCATCAAGTAACTGCCCTTCCAACTTCAGCAAGAACTTTTCAAATGGCTTTAATTTTTCTTCCTGAATCCCAAATTTCGAAGGGTTGTGATGGACAGACTTCAGTAACCTTCTAGATTTAAAGAAAGAGCTTAAATCTATCTAATAAATTCTTAAAAGCTAAAAATATTCCAGGAAATAAAATTTTGTATTTACTATTCCTTCCTCGGCTCTCCACATTGGAAAACATGGATGGAGCAATGTTAATGAAATTCTTACGCTTTTTATTGCCTTTATTCAGCTGCCTATTGCTCTGCACTAACCAAATATTCAATGACAACTTGTAAACTGAATAAAAATTTAAGAGTGTTCCAGCGTATGTAATCAAATAAATGAAAAGCAAGGCAGAAACTTTCACTTGCACAGAACCCCAAGGGGAACCAGTAAGCTTCTGCAGCACTGAGCATGCTCACACACATCTCTCTCACAAAAGCCCATCTAACAGCAGGGCTGACTGCCTTCATGAAACTACTGGACACCACAGGGCTGGAGAAACAGTTCAGTGACTCAAGAGCTGAGCCCTGCAGAGGAAACCTGAGCCCAGTTCCCAGCGCTCCCATCAGGTGGCTCACAACATGGGACTGTGGCTCCAGGGAATCCAGCTCCCTCTTCTGGCCTCCCTAGGCATTGACCCATGTGCGGGAACACATGGAGACAGGCAGACATAAACACATACACACAAAAAAAATAAATATTGGACATGAATTTCTTTCCATTAGAGTTGCTAGGTCTTGTTAAGAATCTGAATAATTTGTAACTGTTTAGTTTTACCAAACTAACACATCAACTGTACAAAGTAAGTATTTTAGGTGGCGTACCTTTTGTACATGGTCCAATGGTCTTTCAGTGTGACATGATTGTCAACAATTTCATCCAGGGTAAGTAAAACTGTTAGCAGTTCTCCCAAGTGCTCATACATAGTCTGTCAAAAAACCTTTAATGATTATCATTTAGTCACTCGTTAGAAGTCTCATGTGAACTTTTAAAGAAAAACACATGTGGGCTCATTATTAAATTGGTGAAAGGAGGGACCAACTGGCTTATTAACTACAGTTCTGAGTTCAAATGGTACTAGCCTAAATACAATATATTTTACCTAATATTTCTTCCTTAATTGTGATGCTGCAGATTTGTTCACTGGCAACAGAAAATCTGCACGGAACACTACCGGGAAAAACTACAAGAGGCAGTGCAGAGTAAGAGATGCCTTGACAACCGCATGGACGGAGGGAACACAAGAACAGGGGTGGAGATGTGTTACACTTCTTAATTATACAAATTCCAAAATAAAGTAGAAAAATTAACTTTTACCTGAAAATGAACTCCAGTTGTCTCTATAATTTTGGGTCCTATCCTATAATAAAACAATACCAAAGTTTAAAAAAAAAAAAACAAAAAACACCTTTATGGTTACAGTTCATTCTAAATTCAAGAAACCAATACAGAAGCAGAAACTCTGACTTGTCTGGGCTACCCCTGCTATGTGGCACTCACAGGTAAAGACCTGACAACTGACCAATGACCTGAGTTTCTTAACCCTAAAGGATGAGCCTTGGCATAGAAGTAGAGGAAGCACACTGATGAATTATGAGTCTCTCAGTTAGCAACTATAATCTGTTCACTCTACCAAAACTGGCACCTGGAGAGTCCTAAGAACAAACCAAACTCCTTCAGTTCTCACTCCTGCTAAGAAGCAATGAACCACACCCTCTAGGGTTACACCACTTACTTCCTTCTGAACTTAATCAATATAGTTCTTACATATCAAACTACATATGAAGTATTCCAGAATACAGGACGCACATCTAAAGTTGAACAAAATCTTTAAATATTATCTTTCTATAGCAGGAACGAGGAAGAGTCCCCAGGATTCCACCTCAGGTAGTGCGGGGGGGAGTGTGGAGATCTGGGACTACCATCCTTTGCACTGAGTGGGGGAGGGGACTGCCACTCCTTTGCTCCTGGTATAAAGATCGCTTTGGTGAAGAGCCAGAATACATAAAGACAGCAAACTGACCAGAAGTCCCCGAGAGTGAGGTGATAAATGTCCTCTACCCCCTCACAGCGTGGTACAGCAGGAACAACAAATGGACTGCTGACCACAAGGAACAGTACCAAAGCTGCTGTGAGATCATGGTAATGCCACCTCTGGGTCTTGGCTCTCATTAAAGTATGAGTCACATCCCTCAACAGCAGTACAATAGATGTAGAAAAAAATACAAAGAACTGACCAAAGGTTAGATGTAATTTATGGTGATAAGAACAGCAAGGGCACTATGGAAATTTGATCAGTTCTTAATTTAGGGTCGATCTGGAAGATCATTAGAATTTTAAGTACTTTTTCAGTGTAGACTGCCTACACTCGCTCCATCCCCAAGACTCTGTAGTTTAAGAAAAGTCATATGACCACTAAATGTACGCAGGAAAAAAAAAATAAAACCCTCTGTGTGAACTAATTCTGTATCAGTTTTTTTCTATCGTGAAATATCTTTAAAATTTTTTGTTCAACATTCTCATGCTGACAGAAATCAAGTTCGTAACTTGGTGAAAACTGCAGCTCATTAGTCTATAAACACACACACACACACACACACACACACACACACACACACACACACACACACACACACACACGTCCAGCAGTACCTAAATATCCTAAGTGTACATACTGAGTAAATAAATGAATACAAAGCTATTTCAAATAATTACTTTTCTAAGAAGTACTCCCTCTACTTCATGAAAGTCAAACAATGCTAAAGTGCATTACTTGTTGCTGATGTAGAGGGCAGCCAGCTGGTGGATAACATTCACCAGCACTTCATAGCACCTCGTGACAAAACAGGACAGCTCCTGAAAGGACAAGGAGAGTATACATCACAGGGTTGCTTCAGGAACGTCACGACATTTGGGCTGAACGTTCTAACACAACCCCAACAGTTTCGGGTCGAATCCCCAGATACCCAGCAGCCAGACAGAGGAAGCCCTCAAGCAACACTTCCCTCAGCTCCTGCACAGCTGGTCATCCCTGTCTCTGCTGCCCCTGCTTCACTCTCGCAGTCTGAGTCTCTGTTTCAGTTACTCGCAGCTCCGAGATGAAGGGGACAGCCCACCCCTGCCCTGTAAATGAATGACAATGGCTTCCAGAAGTGTGACCAAGACAGAGCAAGGTCCACTAGTCACTAGGTCACTTCATGTGTTACCTTTGGTCACAAATATGTACCTTGGCACACACCAAGTGCAATATCACTTACCCCAAAGATATTAATTCACTCTGCTGGGCCCAGACCTCACCCACTCTAAACTATAAGTCCTGAGCAAGAGTTTTCATTGCTTTTATGTGCTGGTTTCCTCCGTCACCAAGAGTAGCTTGGCAGCGCGCGCACGCGCGCGCGTGCACACATACACACACACAAGCACGCACACACAGCCACTGAACACCTCAGATGAACTCTGGGACAGTAAACAGCTTTTACTGACACATAAACAGAATTTGAAGTCTTTCAAAGTAAAAATAATGTTGTTTTTTTTTTTTAAAAAAAAAAAACAGCTTTTTGCTACATAGGCCAGACTAGCCTTCAACTCATAATCCCAGCTCAGCCTTCTCAGTGCTTGGAGTCCTAGGATACAGGCATTATCAATGTGCTAAGTAATAGATTTTAATTTCAAACAGCTCATTTTACATGTTATTAAACTTCTGAAGGTTAAATGATAGCAGGAGAATAAAAAATACAAAGCACAGCAAAATAAGTTCGGATTCTGTAAGACAGAAATAGATGGAGTCAATTAAAAGACTGTCAGATGGTATAAAAAAACAAAACAAAACTGGAATCCATCCATTTGCTGTTTTCCCTCCAATACTGAGAAGCACTGCTAGCTCACTTGGATGTTTCAGACACTAGAGCGCTCCCGGACAATCAGTATGCTGGAGCGCAGCTAACAAGGCTCCTGCTGAGTGTGTGAGCACCTATGCACAGGTATCCACACAGAGGCACTGGATCCCGAGTGAAGTTACATGTAGCTGTGAGCCCCGATACTCAACTAGGGTTCTCTGGAAACAGTACATGCTGTTAACCAGTGAACCAAAATGAGCTCTCCAGCACACATTTTTTTTTTAATCTTACTTTTTTTGTTTATGGTCTTGTCTACATGTGTGTCTATGCCAAAAGAGGGTAAAGGGTCCCTCCAAACCAGAGTTATAGACAGCTGTAAGCTACCATGTGAGCAGGTGCTGGGACCTGGGAATCAAACCTCAGAATTGCAGGGAAGAGCAGCTGATGTGGGAGTGATTTCTTTCTATCTGTTGCTTTCATTGGTTAATTAATAAAGAAACTGCCTAGGCCCATTTGATAGGCCAACCCTTAGGTGGGTGGAGTAAACAGAACAGAATGCTGGGAGAAAGAAAGCTGAGTCAGTGAGTCGCCATGATTCTCCCACTCCAGACAGACGCAAGTTAAGATCTTCTCTGGTAAGCCACCTCATGGGCTACACACATTATTAGAAATGGGCTAGTCCAGGTGCGAGAGTTAGCTGAGAAAAGGCTAGATATAATGGGCCAAGCGGTGTTTATTTTTTTTCAGGTTTTTTTTTAATTTTTTTTATTTTTATTTTTTTTATTTTTTAATTTATTTATTTATTAAAGATTTCTGTCTCTTCCCCGTCACTGCCTCCCATTTCCCTCCCCCTCCCCCAATTAAGTCCCCCCCACCCAGCCCGAAAAGCAATCAGGGTTTCCTGTCCTGTGGGAAGTCCAAGGAACCCCCGGATGCTCAACTTACTAGACCAAGCGGTGTTTAAAAGAATACAGTTTCCGTGTAATTATTTCAGGTAAAGCTAGCCAGGTGGTGGGACACAGCCTGCCGCTCATATTTCAACAAGCAGCCAGTGCTCTTCATGGCTGAGCCATCACTCCAGCACCCCCCCCCCAAAATTTTTAAAGTTAAAAACAATATTATTCACAAATGAAACTATACAAATCAAATTATACAAATTATATAATCTATCAAAACAATTTTAAACAATTGTTCACATCTCTTGATACCTTATTCTCCAAAATTCCCTTAGAAACAGTTCAGGAGTCACAATGGCCTACACTATAACTACACTAACTGCTTTACTCTCTGAGTGCACAAGTCCTCGGCATTGAATGTTTCACAACTTTTCAATCATGTGCAATTTTTATGCAAAATTACAAAGAGAAGACTCAGCAAGACATAATGAGGCACACCTTTAATCTCAGAATGTGAAGTGCCTGAGGCAGTGACCCTCTTATAAGTCTGAGGCCAGCGTAGTCTAGACAGTAAGCTCCAGAAGAGTCAAGGCTACCTAGTAAGACCCTATCTTGAATAAATAAATAAATGGCTCAAGAGAAAGTAAAAAAAAATCAGCTACCTTAAAAAAAATAGTTACCTGTAAGAATGAAACGAATCTCCCCATTTGAATTTGGCAGTCACCTTCCACCATACTGGAATCTGTAGCTTTAAAAAGCAGCATGAATTTTATTTCTATTTTTATTTAAATCCAGCAACAAAGACAAACAATTCTTTCACTAGTGCCCAGTACCGAAACACTGGACTTTTAACACTGAAGAGAAAAATGGCAAAGTCATAAACTATATACAACATCCAGCAGCCACGCCTGACTGCCACGCGAACCCCCACACTGGTCCCATCACAGGACCGTGCTGACACAACACATGCCGGCTCTAGAGGGTCTGCTGCCATACTCCACTTCTCACTTGTTAACCCATCCATGCACCAACGAGACAACTCAATGTCAGGGCTGGAGGGCGGCTCAGCAGCTCAAAACACTTGCTGCTCCTCCAGAGGACCACAGTTTACATTTCCAGCACCCACAAAGAGAGGCCCCTATGGGCACCCACATACACAAAATATATCTTTAAAAATTTCTGAATGTTTGTTTTTTCTAATCTGTTAGCTTTTGGCTCACTTCAGTTTCATAAAAGGCAGCAACAAATGCAATTCTAAAATTTGAACTTACCTCCTTCACCATAAAACAAAAGGCCATTGTAAAACTTAGTTTCCGCCTGTTTAAAAGAAAATCAAAATAATTTAAAAGGTTGCTTTCAAATCCTAAACTTTCTTAACTCTCTAATGACATATGACATGGCTTACACATAAATCTCAGAATCTGCTCTCAGATGATCAACTTCTCTTTACAGGGACGAAGATAACCACTGACACCCAAGCTGAGCTTGGTCCTCTAGCCTGTACTCCATCATCTGCCCACCCTCAAGACCACTCATCTCCCCACCGGTTCAGTTGCACTCACAGAACATAAAGAAAGGGAGGGAAAATAACAGAAGTTCACCAATGTCTACAATGGCTCCAAATCCAAATCCATATAAAAAGTTTAAACTTAAAAGGAAAAACAACAACAAAAAGCTGGAAGTGGTGGCGCACACTCAGGAAGCAGAGGCAGGGGGGATCTCAGTGAGTTCCAGGCCAAGGTCTACAGAGCGAGTTCCAGGACAGCCAGGGATGTTACACAGAGAAACCCTGTCTTGGGGAGTGGAAGGTAGGGAGGGGGTGTACCTCTGGACAGCCAGCACACACACCACATATACTACTCTGGAGGCAGGCAGGCCTAGATTCACACTGCTACTTTTAGCAATACCCACTGTAAGCCCCAATTTCTCACCTGTTCCTCACCTGCTGAGTCCTCACCCTACACATAACACAGTAACCACTCAATGAGTGCCAGATTATTCTAAGTCCTTCAGGACTGCTATTATTGTAAGTGGGTCAGTATTTATTGCACACTGCTTTTAATTGATCTTAAAGAAGAGAAACAATTACCTCATACTTTAATTTCTTGATTTCACAACAAAGTGCAGCATACACAGTGATGACTTTGTTTAGGACCTGGTTTCAAAAATAAAGACAGAAAAAGTGAGTGGTAAGCACCAAGAGCGTTCTCTGAATGCTCTTTAGGTTAGGACAATTACCTTGTTCTCAGTCTTTATGAGCTCCAAGAGGGAGGACTGCTCATAGGGCAGAAGCTACGGAAACAAAGGGAAAGAACATCTTTTAATTTGAAGGGAAGAAAAAAAACACTGAAATTTTAAATATATAAAATGAGATTAAATGGATTACAGTTAAACTTGTGTTAGACCCTATAGTCAGTCAGCATTAGCATCAACTCAACTACTATGTTTAAGATAATTTTAACAAAGGACGAAAGGTACAATCACTCGAGAAACAGCCTGCACACAACACGAGGCACCCAAACAGCTCCAGCTGTGCCCAACAGAAAGTGGCTGAAAGTGGGAGGACACTAAGAAAAGACTAACAGTGAGCTTTGTCCTTTCAGAAACTGTTATGCAAGCATACACTTAGTAAGATGTCGTAACTAAACGGGCCAAATTTAAGTCATTACATCTGATGCAGCTTCATTTCCTTCTGGCTCTAAAGCTTTCCTGATTAGTAACTAAAACGAGTTTTCTATTAAGTGAAAACTGGACCTTTCTTTGAGTTACATACTAACAATAAAGTACATACGTAAATTAAAAATAACTTCTCTCATTTAGTTTGCAATTTCTATTTATAAGGATCTTATCAGAATCTATAACCCTTGCAGAGCAGGAACATAAAATAATTTCCCAATAAAGGGACTAAAGAAAGGTCCCAGGGTAAGCTGGGAGAAAAAGGGCTGTACTGTACAAGAGGATAAATGTATAAAGAGATTTTAAAGTTTCTGTTGTCCGAAGACTAAAGCTGAGACAATTTCATTGTTTCACAAAGCCATGAGGCTTCATTTCACATCCATTAAGATAGGGTTGATTTTAAAAGACAAACAATAACAAACTTTGGCAACAATGTAGAGAAACTGAAACCCCCATATATTACTGATAGGGACGAAAAACAGTGTGGCCACAGGAAAAAGATGAGAAGGGGGTCAGCAAAATGGCTCAACAGGTAAAGGCACTTGTTACCAAGCCGGGTGATCTAAGTTTGGTGCCCAGAAGACATATGGAAGAAAAGAATTGGCTCCTACAAGTTGTACTCTTTCCACACACACCATGGCACAGCACATGCACACAAACACACACAAATATGTGTACAGTAAAATCCTCAGAAAACTAAGCATAGCTACCAAACGACTCAGTAATTCTGCTTCTAGTATAATGCATGACATGAAAACATGTGTACATAAAACCCCAGGACACATAATTAGCATTAGTTCCAACAGCCAAAACTGGAAAACCTAAATGTCTATCCCTAAAGAATGGACAGCTCGGGCTGGAGAGATGGCTCAGAGGTTAAGAGCACTGGCTGCTCTTTGGAAGGACCCGCGTTCAGTTCCCAGCACTCACATGGCAGCTCACAACTCTCTGTAATTCCAACTGCCAAGGATCCAGCACCCTCACTCAGATACACATGAAGACACAACACAATGCACACAAAATAAGTAATTGTTTTTAAAAAGGCATTCCCACATTAAGATCCCCGATTTCATTCCTTTTGAGAAATGACAGCAATGTTTTCTATCTTCATTCGAATATGTGGTGGATGAGCTCTGTGCTCAGGAAAACTCAGTGAGAAATCCTTAAAAATCTGTATATTTTAAAAAAAATCTGTATATTTGACTATGTGTAAAATAGCTACAATGAAAGAAACAAAGCCAGTGTGTCCATCTAGCTCTTTGTTGAAGATCAAAACAATGACTAGGTGGAATAATTGGACTTTGTGTTATGATACTGTAAGATTGTCATTCTTTCAGAAATATATATATATATATATATATATATATTAATGAAATTAATTCAGACCTTTAATGCTATAGGATCAAGATTGAAATCCCAAACATCTCCAATCAAATCATCCAGTGCGTCCTCAATTCTTCTCAACTGAGATGTATACTCCTCAAGGAATTTCCCATAGTTCTTAAGCTGGACTTCAGCATGAATTTCTAAATTGTAAAACAGAAAGTTACAATTACAACTACTGAATGGCAGAACACTAGCTTCAAATGATCTCAGTAAAGCAGCAAAACACGGTCAATGACTACCTTGGAGTGCCTCACTTCATGGAAATAGGCTCCAAAGTTAAAGAGTCATTCGGCTTTGAATTTTCTCCAAATATGTCAAAGTACTCAAAACCTGCAGTCCTTACCCTAGGATCTGGGGCTACCAACCAGCCCGAGTCATGCCTCAGACAACCCAGGGTCCAGAAGCTATCCTATGTTATTTTGGTCACACACAACTCTGCTGCAAAGCTTATCAGCTACCTGACGGGAAGCAGGTACAAAATTCTGTGTTGTAATAGAGCAAACTGCAAAAAGGTTGGTTAATTTTATACATAGTAAAATGTTTAAGAATACAATCAAATCTATTTTACATGTAGGTTTTAGACCTGCTACACTGTATTATTATTTCTCTAATTCCCAACTTACCAAAATGCTTTACTTGTTCAATTTTTTAGTTATTATAATCAACATGTATAAGCCAGATAAAACATACTGGCTGAGGTAGGGGCTGGAGAGATGGCCTAGCCACTGAGAGCACTGGCTGCTCTTATTACTGGGGTTCAGAGGACTGCGGTTCAGTTCCCAGCACCCATGTGTCGATTCTGTAACTCTAGACCCAGGAGATCCAATATCAGCTTCTGGCCTCTGCAGGTATTGCACACACATAATAAAACATAACAAAAAAACAGCTGGGACCCACAAAATTTATATATTAGTACATGACCTTAAGCTTAGAGCCACTGAAATAAGTTGGATTTTTCAGAAGCCTACTCACCAAAATTAATAAACATTCCATCTTATACCTAAGAATTGATTACTGATTCCAAAAATTCAACTTAAATTCAGTTCTTTAATCAAGGACTTAAAAAAAGGTTTTTTTTTTTCCCTTCAAATTTGAAATGTGGAGCCATTATGAAATAAAGTCCTGACTCACACTGTGAGGAAATAAAGACACCTTTCTTCTATTTTGCTACTGAGGCCCTGAATCAGGGGCATCAATTCAGTTCACTAAGACTGCTGTCTCAATATAGCACTCAGTTAATTTTGGAAAACAATTAGTCTAGATATGAATCAAAGTCCAAAAACTAATGGAAACCAGGCAAAGAGAAATCTCTTACCTACAGCTAACAATCCTGTGTTAATGTCTTACTCTATTGTATGGGAAATGGCCAAAGTATCACTTGACCAGCAAATGGGTTCTTAAAGACCGCACTAGAAAAACACGCTCTTAGATCAGCTGGTGAGACCAAGGTTAGAAACACCTGAAAACCTGCAGAAGCATTTTAAGCTCTTTGCTGATAAGATATCTAACAGCTCTGAGCTCATAAAAGTTAAAGTGCACACCACACTTCCCTCCCAACGAACTGCATTTCTTGGTTTATTTTTCTTATTCCTTTTCAACTTAGGATAGAGCGTTAAGGGCTTTATCACAGCGCATCCACACACACGTGTACACACAGGTGTGCTTACCTTGTGTCCTCACTCAAGCTCTCTCTCCCCTCCTTTCCCCAGTCCTGTTTTCCCCAACCCTCTAGGGTCTAAAACAATGCTCACATGGTATTATGATTAACCAGCTGATCATTCTACTTCAAGCCCTATATACCTTCATTCCAACTTCGGTCAGATGCAAAACAAAAAAGAACACCTGACAAGGTACAGTTCACTTTAAAACCGAAAATACAAAACCCAAAAGTGGTTATTATCCTTTCGCCCAGATCTTTATGCCGCATACAATTAAGAAATGTTTACTGAAATACTGCACGGAACAGGACCCGGATGTAAAGGCAACTAAAACCTCAGTATATATAAATCTGTACATGCTAAATCTCTAAAATAATCCGCAATTCAGCTGTAATTTTTTTTGAAATGGCATTCCTACTTTGGGGAAAGATACACATTTTAAAAATTCTCAAACAACTACCCCAATTTCTCTTCTATGACTCAGAAGATAAGAAACAAATCAATCACAAGAGTTTCTCATATAATTATTAGGTTGGCTTGTACATTTCACTGACACAAACTGCGAGGCTTTTAGGGTTGTACCTCTGATTTTAAAAATAAAACCGGACGACTCGATTTCATTAAGCAACTGCGAAGCAGATCTTGTAAAAATAATTAAAATAAATTAAATTTTAAAAGAAAATTCAGCTGCAATGACAATTATAGAATGTTTTTTTTTTAACCATATAAAATCAATAAAAGGCCTAGGATTGATGAGATGACATTCCCGTGTTGACTGATGTTTTTGTTTTGGCTTTTTTTTTTTTTTAATGCCAGGAAGAGTTATTTTTCCGCTATCTTCCATGGTTCTAGGAACGCGAACCCAAACTTCAATAAAGTTGATTTGAGAAGTAAAAAAAAAGAAAACAGGAAACCGAAATGGGAACCCAGACTCTTCTAAAACTGAAGGCTCAGAGCATCTGGCGCCAGCCCTGGGATGGGATGGGCATCCCGGGGAGGCTGGCCTGTCGTGGCGGGCCCCCAGGGAGCGAGCGCCGCTGGCCGGTCCCCCGCCTCCGCGAGGGACACCGGGCACCCGAGCGGCTCGACGCGACCCCGGCAGTCACGCAGCGCCGCGTCCCACCCCAGGGGACAGTCCCCAGCGGGCGGCCGCGCCTCCCCGCGCCGTCCGAAGTCCCTCGGCCGCGCCACCCGGCCGGCCTCGCCCGACACCCGGAGACTCACTCTGAGAGCCGTCGTCCACGCGGTCGAACTCCCAGTCCGGCGACAGAGTGTCCACGGCCATCGCCGCGGCGGCGCCTCCCACAGACACAGCACCTAGCTGCCACCGCCGCGACACGGGCCTCACCCCAGCTGCTGTCACGGCACGTGACTTCCGGGACCCGGCCCCGGCCCCGCCCCCGCGCGCCACAGCCAGTGGACGCTCGGCCCTACGGACCGCGGGGGCCTCTGGGAAAGCGAGTCCGTCCGCCTGCGCCCAGCGGGGCCGCTATTAGTGACGATGGCTGTTGGCATCCTGCACCCTTTCCCTGTCCTCGCTGCCGTTTGCATCTGTTCTCAAGCCACATTCAGTTTCTCCTATGCTGCGTCCAGGCTGTTTAAACACCTGAGGGAGCTACTCTATCAGTCTAACGGGGAAAGAGCGGAAATAACGGGGTGGGGACCAACGCAAAGACAGGGTCCTTCACCAGGACACTGCCCTGGCCCTCCGACCAAGATGCTTGCCCCACCAGCTCTTTTCTGACTTTACCCTCGCAGTTCCCACCCCGTGCATGTCCTGCCCCATTTGTTTTTGTTTGTTTTGTTTTTTGACAAAAGACCTCTGTGTATAGAAGAGTAGTGACTTTAAGAAGGCTATCAAACAACCTCACTACTGGATTTGCTTTACACCGATTACTGCTCTTCCTCCCTTGTTTGGAAGACAGTGGGATTGGAATTTGTTACCCAGAGTTCTACATTTACCCTAAAATTTACACAAAAAGCTTCCTATCAGCCCGGTTTTTAAGAAGTGCTAATACGAAACAGTCTAAAGAGCCATCAAAAAGTAAAACTTAATCATTCATACTCTGAATTCCTAGAGAGCTATGTAATGAAATAGGTCTCAAATGGCGTGAAAAATAAAAGGACAGGAGGCAATTTTAGAACATCACATATTTGCCGTTAAATTACAATCTATGTAAACATGCCCATGTGGTTGCAAATACATAGGAGAATTCAAATCTCGTTAAGACAATGGTTTACTTGGGAATGAGTAGATGCTGATATATACAAAGTGGCTCTTATATTTTTCTTGTCTATTAGCTGACTCTTTTGCAAGTATAGTTTTTAAGTTATTTGCATCATAGAGTACCAAAAAATCAATAAAGAATATTCTCTTGAAAAGCATGTTCTGAGATGTTGAGGTTTGGACATGGTTTTGAGACAAGATCCCAATACCATAGCTGAGTGGCCCTGTTGCTACTGGGTCTGCAGCAGGGTGTTAGACCGAAACCTCCGAAGATCTGAGCCAAAAAATGACCATCTTCTTTGTAAGATACCGATCTCAAGAACGTGTTACAGTGACACCTGTCACACCCGAGAGGACTTCCTGCGCCTCTGCCTTCAGGATGTCCCGTTGGAATGTTTGGTGTCTTTCTGTAGCGTGCAGGGTTCTGGCAGCCTTGTTTAGCTTCCCTGTTGGCAGCTTCTGACTCAAATCATCACAAAACTAAATCCAGCCTACGGGAGAAAAAGAGCACGCTTAACGAATAACTCGAACAAAAGTCACGGAATCAAGTCTTGCCAGTAGTGATTGCCTTTCTTGGTACTGGCGCACACCTTCCAGCCTGTCTTGGAAACAGGAAGAACGGGAGGGGTGGACAGATTGGCTGAGTGTAGGTCACGTGCTCTGCGGATGCAGAGAGCAAAGGAAAAAGCAACACTGCAGGAATCGTTTGGCCTGGGAGTGGAAGAGACTAGCCTATATGGAAACCAGTGGGTATTATTAGCACAAGGAGAGGGTGTATATGGCCGGGGGAGAGCTATGATAGTGATTTTACCACTGAGCCACTTGGTCTTAGCAGCCAAGCATCTCACGGTGACTATGGTGTAGGTATTGGAGTTAGCAATTAACTATTACAGCAGGACGGCTTTTTTAAAATACCATTATTTCAGCTGGAGAGATGTCTCAGCAATTAAGAGCACTTGCTGCTCTTCCAGTGGTCCTGACTTCAATTCCCAGCAATCACATGGTGACTCACAACCGTCCTATAATGAGATATGGTGCCATCTTCTGGCCTACCGCCATACATGCAGACAGAACACTGTACACATAATAAATAAAATCTTTGTAAGAAGATTGTTTTTAAAAAAAGACTATTTTGTAATAATTTTATTATTTAGATGCTTACATTTAGAATTTTAGATAAAAGAACTTCTAGGACTTTACTAACGCAGATAACATTTATTTTGTGCTTATTGCTGTTGTTATTGTTAAGCCCAGGGAACTCAGACTAACCTTGAACTCTTTGACGCTGGCCTTGAATTCCAAATCTTCCTGCCTCCACTTGCTAAGTGGTGGGATTACAAGCATGTGACACTATGCCTGACTTTGCAAGGAATTTTTTTTTAAAAAATCAATGATTTTTTTCTAACAAACCCAAACAGAAACAGAAATCTGGAAAAGAGTTGAAGAATGGGCAACCAGGGCTTGTTGATCTATAGAAAGAAAAGGACCTAAAAAAATAAAAAAATAAAGAAAAGGGTCTGGCAGAAATATGTTTGGAGGAAAGTCACGAGTCTAAGAACACATATATCACCAAAGTTTGATAAGGTCTTTAAATATACTATAATTTCATGCTATATCAACTAGACATTTCCACAGGAACTTTACGTGGGCATCTGATCAACGTCATTGAACCCACAACGGAATTCTGGGTATTCCACTCCCAGACCTGCTTCCCACCCTGTGTGAGATCCACGGCTTACTTAGTTAATAGCTGTGTGACTCAGCCAGCAGTCTGGGTACAACCACAAGGCTTTCTGTTTCTCATCTTTCTAGAAATCAGTGAAAGGTTAAAGGAATCTTATTTTTTCAAATGAGATGCAAACATCGCCAGGATCAAAATGGAGTCTCATGCGGGTAAAGATGGCCCAGGAGGTACAGGTGCTTGTCACCACACCTGAGTTCAACTGCTGGGACCCGCGCAGTGAAAGGAGAAGACAACTGACTTCTGATGTTTGTCCATGGACCTCCACATGCCCGCCCTGTGTTGTACATAGATAAGTAAAACGTTAAAATAAAATGAGGTCTCTTGTCAACCCTACAAAAAAAAAAAAGCAAAATGAATGAAGCCAGGAGGTTGTGCAGAAAGGGTCCTGTACCCATGACTGCCTAATAATCATCATCACAAAATATTCCGTCATATCTCAATGTTTGCAAGGAGGGCTAGGCAACCTTCAGGAGAAGAATCTCGAAAGAACCTGATGGGTGACTGTCCAATCATGAGCTGATACGGCCCCCTGTTATAATCACTGTGGCCAACAAAAATGGTTTCACAAACTGATGTAACCCTCTTCCATTAAAATCTCCCTTTTTCCTCTGCCTCTTGAACATGCCAGGAGTTTACTGACTGTTTCCCATATAGCTATTCCTTATTTTTTCTCTTCGAAAAATCTCTCATTTTGGTTTTAGTTTGGCTTGACGAAATAGTTGTTATCCTTGGGTTGTGGGATTATTATTATTATTGACTTGTTTTTATGTCTTTATTCATTTCATTATTTTGTATTATTCAACAGCAAATAACAGAGAAAGATTTCCATCACCTTCTCAGCTTCATTGACCTATGGCTGGCTGGCTGGCTGCAGTCTCTCCCTGCCTCTCCCTTCTGCAAACCTCCCCCCAGCTTCAGTGAAAGCACTGTTGTAGTGATTGGCTTAAAATGTACTCAGAGACATCTCTTCCAGGAACTGCTCTGGAGGCTGCCAGGAATGACCAAAAACCATCCTCTGTTCAAAGAGTGCAGACAGTCTTGCTTTTAAATTTTAAATAATAATAAGGTATCAGGTCTGTTTGTAATGTATCTTTTAAGAAATATATTTAGCTCCATGGGCAGAGTTCATGAGAGGCATTGACCCTTGTGTGTGCAGAGAAGTTGAGGACACAGCAGCTGAAGCCACGGTGGCACTCCCCACTGCTGGCAATCTGCCAGTAGATAATGCTCTAGCATGCCATTTCCAACCACTGGCCACAGGAGAGCCATTGCACCCAGAGAAATAAGAGCCAACAGAAATGCCTGGCCTATGAGCTCTCTGCTAGTCAAAATGAAGAGGAAAATTGGAGGGAGGGAAGTATTTTAGGTCACTGGTGATCATTGTAGGTTTGTCCCTAAAGACCTTTATTGAAATGTTTATTTGCAATGAGATCAATAGCAGGCAAAAAAGAATGACTTTGAATCTTACAGTGTCCCTAGGTTTATTCTGTAAACAGAACAAGTGACTCTGAAGAATATATAAAGAGGTTTATTCCGGAGTCACAGTTCCACTGTCTGTGGAATCTAAACAGGATGGCACTGACATCTATGAGGACTCTAACTGTGTGCCAACATGGCAGATGGGCAGAAAGGGAGCCTCTTTTCTGCAGGGAGGGCCAAGCACACAAAGTGACCCTTCAAAACTAACCCAACTGCAGGAATCCCAACTCACTCCTGGATCTCACTGTTCCCCACTGGGCTCTGCCTCTTTCCCAGAGCCCAGCACCTCTGCTCCCTTGCCAGATGATGTCTCTTCGTGAACTCGGTGACAACACACCACAGCAAAGTGACATTTATAGAAGACCCAGAGCTACAGAGATGACCCTGTGGTTAAAAATGTTTGCTGCTCTTCCAGAGGACCAGGGTTCAGTTACCAGGATCTGTGAACAGCAACTCACAAAAGCCTAACTCCAGCTCAAAGGATGCAATGCCCTCTCCTGACCTCCACAGGCACCTAAATGTACAGGTGTGCACACACACACACACACACAGAGACATAAGTTTTAAAAATAAAATGTTTTAAAAAGCAAGTACAAAGACTTACATTATTTACTAGGAGGAAAGCCTATGCCGCATTAATATTGACTGGTCTGATTAACATAAGCTTCATTCTCATTCTTTACCTTCTCTCCCCAACTCCGTGTGTGCTGGGGCCAAACCCAAGGCCTGGTACATGCCATGAGAGCGCCTCACCCAGTACCTCAGTTTTCAAGACAGATCTCACTATCTAGTCCAGCCCTGCCGGAAGTTTTCTATCCCTCCATTTCTGTAGTGTTGGGATTATGGCAGTATACCCATGCCCAGCTCTAAGATTTTTTGTTTTTAATCAATATTAAA